ATTCGGTATTTACACATGTGTATCCTATTTATTTCACTTAAGAGTATGGCCTCAATATGCATCCATTTAGCTATAAATGTCTCTAGTTTCTCGTTCTTTATGGCTGAGTAGTACTCCATTTTATTAAAAAAAACACATCTTTTTTATCCAGTTTCCAGCTGATGGGCACTTGGGCTGCTTCCAAAGCTTTAGCTATTACAAACTATGCTGCTATAAACATAGGTGCACATATATCGCTGTGGTATGATTCTTTTAATTCTTTGGGGAAGATATGCAGCAGGGGAATAGCTGGTCAAATGGGACTTCTAATCCTAGTTCTTTGTGTTATCTCCATACTAATTCCCACAGTGGTTGCACCCGTCTGCATTCCCACCAACAATGGAGGAGGGTTCCTTCCTCCCCACACCCCCACCAGCATTTGTTACTGGTTGATTTCTTGACAGCAGCCACTCTTTCTGGGGTGAGGTGGAATCTCAGTGTTGTTTTCATCTGCATCGCTCGAATGACCAGTGATGTTGAACATTTTTTCATGGTTATTTGCTGCTTTTATTTCTTTGTCTGAGAAATGCCTGTTCATTTCAGATGTCCATTTTTTGAATTGGGTCTTTGAATTGGGGGGTCTGATTTTTTAAGTTGCCAAGGGTGAGCTTGAATTTGCGATCCTCTTGCCTCAGAGTGCTGCAATTATTACAAGTCTGTACCACCTTACCTGGCTTCACTGTACATTTTTATAGGTTCAAATTGATAATCAAACTTCATATAAGGTAAATCAATGATTAAAATGAAAGTTTTCTGATGAATATGAAAATAGAGATTATGACAGCTGCAACCTAATACAAGCTTCAAATTCAATAAAGCCATTAAATCTTTATTATTGAAAATATCAAACAAAATCAAATTAATGAAACATAGTATGAAACCCTATGTGTCCGTTCCCATCTTCAAACATTTTCAACAAATGGTCAGTCTCATGTTATTCATGCCCCACTCACTGTCCAAAGTCCTTACCCTTCACATAGGTTTACTTTGAAGGAATCTAGGACAATGTAATTGTCACTAAATAGTTTAGCAGGTGTATCTAAAAGATAAGGAGTCTAACACAATGCTATCATATTTTAAAATATTAATAATAAATAATTCCTTAATATCATCTGTTATGGGCTGTACTATGTGCTCTCAAAACTCATAAACTGAAGCCCTAGCTACCATACCTTAGAATGTGACTGTACTTGGAAATATTGCCTTAAAGTTAAAATGAGCTCTTTAGGGCGTCCTTCTAAGAAGTAATTTGGACATAAGCAAGTATACAGAGGGAAGACTATGTGAAAACAAACACAGAAGTCTCTATAATCTACAAGTTCAGGAAAGAGGTCTCAGAAGAAACCAAACCTGCCAACATTTGACCTCAGACTTCCAGAAATGTAAAAAAAAAAATCTCTTTGTTTGAGAAACTCAGTCCATGGCACTTTGTTAAGGCATTTCTAGCAAACAAATACACTATCTGAAGTATCATCTAACACCATTAAGAATAAAATTGTTCTATCCCCCTCATTCTTATCCTGGAGCTGCTCAAAGGCACAGTATAACCTTCCCCATTCTAGAACAAAGAGAGCTAAAACATCTTAAATAGACCAGCAATTTCATCTAGACTTAATATTCATTCTAATAATCCAAATGTCTTTCATTAATACCACCTTGCTCTAGTTATTTTCACTTCAAAGTTTTAGTATCAGGTAGCATAAATTATTGATACAAGAAATTTTTACTGGATACATATTAGTAAGTATTGTGCTAGATTCTAAAGTAAAGCTGAAAATAAGGCAGCCACAATACTTGCCACCAAAAAACTAGATGCACCTCATTATACCTATTTGTGGTAAGTTTTCTTTTGAGAATAAATATGCAAATGACTGGTACCAAATAACTAATTTTCCCAATATCTTGGTCAAGATATATGAATATCAACATACAAAACTATAAAACGTGACAATTTCTAAAACTGATGAAAATTTCACTATCATTATCTATTATACAGTCAATTCTTCTCTAGAGATCTGACTAGTTCTGACTGAAATCTTCAGGACCTTTTCATATACTCAGATCATGGCCTACTATTTTGATCCTGAGGCAGTTAATAAGAACATTCCTATGTCTTTCCCTATAAACAACTTTTCATTTTGTTCTCTGGAATACAGAGCTAGACATATAAAAAAGTACTTGGTTAACTGAGTAGGTTTGACTTCTGTGATATATCTCCTATTTTGTCATGTCCATTTCAATACATTTAAGAAAAAAGAAATGAGGCAAGAAACCAGTATGAAACAGGACAGATGACAGAAAAGTTTTCTTCTTCCTGCAGGGCTCTAGATTCAGCAGGTAATAAAGTTACTCAAAACCAAGTTACAAATCTCTTATGTTCCAAAATCTCCAAGACTGGGACACTGTTTAAAACTGCTGCACCAAGGTCCTGTGAGAGGGAGACACACCCGTAAGAGTGATGTCATCATCATCATCATCTATGATTTCTTCTTCAGCAACATCCAGTGAGCTTTCAGTAATCATGTCATTGGGCTCTTCCACACAGGCTAGACCAGCATAACTATTGAGAATATCAGCACCAGGAACATGTTCCACAATTACAGCAGGAAAAATAGCTGGATCGCCAAGCTATTAGGGGTGAAGAGGGGGGAGATGACAGAAGACAAAGGATTAACAAAGTTTTGTTTTTAGATATAACCCAAAAGTACTTTATATTTTCCATCAACTTAGTTTCTATATCATCAGCTACTCTTACGTTGACAATCCTAGGCTGCAAAGAATATATAGCTATACCATATAAACTTTCATTGTTAATCTTGAGTCTTAATGACCAAGCTTACACTGGGCATCCTGTAAAATACATTTATAAATGATATTACATAAAATACTAATAAGGGGCAGGAGATTTAGCTCAGTGGCACCGTGCCTGCCTCACAAGCACAAGGTCCTGAGTTCGATCCCCACCACCAAAAAAAACCCAAAAAAACCCCATAAAATACTAATAAGATATCATCATTGCTTAAGTGTGAACCAAGAAGTGACATACAAAGGAAACATACAATTAAATAAAATCTCAATAAAAGTTTTCTGGCAGGAAAAAAATGTGAGTTTAATAAATATTGCACTGTCACTTCCCACAAAGCCAAAAATAATATTTTCTATAATTGTCCTCTTCAAGCATGACTGTATGAACAATATAAATTATTACCAATAATATCTGGTTATAAAAATCACAGAGTTTTAGAACTGAAGTACCTTAAAATTTAACCTAGTCCAACCACCTCATTTTACAGATGAGAAAACTGACCCACAGAGGGTTTTTACAACCTAGTAAAAAAATCAGTGACAAACCTCATTAAGCTACTACTTCTTTTATCTTTTATTTTTAAATAACTTCAGACTGAGGAAATTGCAAAAATAGCGCAAAGAACTTCCATCCAACCTTACTTAACCCATATTACCCCAATTCTAACATTTAATCTCTTCTATTTATTGTTCTGTCCTGATATTTTTTATTTGTCTGAAAGTGGCAGACATACTTGCTTCTTTAACCTAAAATACTGCATTATTTATTTCCAAAATACATGAATATTATCTTCTAAAAAGTAGCACAGGAAAGTAACACTAATGTTACTAACATTGAGACTATTATCTAATCTAGAGACTTTATTCAAATTTCCCCAAATATCTTACTAATGTTCTTCATAAAAAAATGAGATAAAAAATGTTTGATTCAAGATCCGCTGTAGGATCATTGGTTTCATTCATCAAATATCCTGTTTTTTAATGATAATTCCTTTAATCTGGAACAGTATCTTCTTTAATTTGGAACAATTCTTCATTCTTTATCTTTCACAATTTTAATACTTTTAAGAGAATTTTAAGAGAACAGGTCATTTGTTTTATAGAATGCCCTTCAATTTAAATTTGGATATTTCTTCATGATTAGAGTCACTTAGCATTTTTGGTAAGAATACTAAAGAAGTAATGTCATATCCTTTAAAATATTGTGTAGCTGAGCATGGTGGCACACGCCTGTAATGCCAGCATACTGGGAGGCTGAGGAAGGAGGATCACAATTTTCAGCAGAGCTTGGGCAATGTAGCTCCTAAGAGACCCTGTCTCAAAACTAAGTAAGTAAATGAATAAAGGGTTAGGGATGCAGCTGGATGAAAAGGCCCTGGTTCAACTCTCGGTAACACACACACACACACACCCATGCAGCCAGGACTGTTGATACATGCCTGTAATCCCAGCATTCTGGGAGGCTGAGGTAGAAGGATTACAAATTTGAGCCAAATTGTGGGCAATTTAGCAACTCAAAAAGACCCTATCTTTCTGATTTTTTTAAAAAAATCAGTAACGGCCAGGGATTTAGCTCAGTGGTTCCTTCGCCTGCCTTGCAAGCGCAAGGTCCTGAGTTCGATCCCCAGTACCAATAAAAATAAAAAATCAGTAAGGGCTGACAGGCTGGGGGTATAGTTCAGTGCAAAGGCTTTGGGTTCAATTCCCAAATGCACAAAAAATATTTCACGTCAGGAATCCCAAAATACTTGTCCCATTGCTAAGGATATTAACTTTGATCACTCAAGGAAGATGACATTTCTCCACTAGAAAGTTACCATTCTTTTCCTTTTGTAATTAGTAAGTGTATTATGGGATGATACCTTAAGTTTTTTTTTTTTTTTGAGACACAGTCTTGCTATGTCTTCAAGGCTGGCCCCTCACTATGTAGCCCATGTTGGCCTCAAACTCACAATAATCCTCCTGCCTCAGTCTTCCAAGTGCTGGGATTACAGGTATGCATGTGTCTAGCAACATCTTGTTTCTTATCATTTCCCCATAAGGTACTTTCTTAAATATGTGAAAAAGTTCCTGTCATAGATAATACTGGCAGGTATTTTCCTTAAGTAAGTCTGCTATCTATGGTTTCATTATAATTAAGCAGTCGCAATTAAAATTACTATTACTTCTCTCATGGGAATTTGATTACCTAAATTTAATATATATCACAGGTACTAAACAGACACTATCATTGCCTTCCAGAATGCCATGCTCTGAAATTTATGGATAATAACCCAAAAGTATCCTCAAGCACACTTGGATCGTTAATATTTCACAATGCTTCTTCCTATTTCAAAAAAGAGGAAGTTAACCAGAAGAAACTGGCTGTTCAAACTGTAAAATCAGTTTTAAAACAGAAAGTAGGGGACTCAAAAATTGTACTTTGGATCACACTCCTACAGAAGCAGTCAAGCAAATATCATATAAAATGTCCAAAGCAAAATATATGTACTTGGCTGTCCCCTTCTTGAGAGGTGATTAGTAGTCATGAAATCCAACCTAGCATGAACATTTATTAAAACAGTTTGCCTTCTGTTCTAAGAGCTCAGCTTAAGTGCTTAGTCTTCTAACAAGACTGAGTCCAGAGATCAATAATTTTCACATGATTTCATTTTATGTTGCTACAATCCTATGTACAAGGTAAGAACAGAGCTCATCACTCCATCCTTTGAAAGATAAGGAATCAGGTTAAGAATCTTATTCAGTCATCCACTAAAAAGAGACTGAGGCATGCCAAGTGCAATTCACTGATGCAGTCCTCATCCAAATAAAACCAACGTATTTCTCCCTATCTAAACTTATCTGAATACTGAAATCTGAACAGAGACTAGTAAGAATGCAGACATTAAAAGGGGTACCTTGGGCCCAGGATTTAGCTCAGTGGTTCTGGGGCCTGCCTCACAAACGCAAGGTCTGGAGTTTGATCACCGGTACCAAAAAATAAAAGCGGGGGGTACCTTTATAATTTTATTTCAACATATATTGTTCCCTAGTTTCAAACAACCATAGATAATCATTATTTTCTTTCTTGTTCTCTTCTACTAAACTAATTAGGTTGGAGGGGTTGATAAATCTTTCCCCAGAATTTATAAGTCCCAAGACTACTTTGTCAAATACCACCATAATCATAGCTACTTCTACTTCAGAGTTCTTCCTAGAGGCAAGTCTTAGCAGTTTTGTTTTGTTTTTGTGTGTGTTCTCTGGCAGAGAGAGTCTATGTATAAGTAAGCACATTCTAGTTTGTTTTAAACAATCATTTTAATTTCAGTTCAAATAATTTTAAAACTATTTAAGAAAAATTTCAGGCTGAAAGTGTAGCACAGTGGTAAAGTACTCCGGGGTTCACTCCCTAGTACTGTAACCAGAAACAAAAAGGAAAGAAAAATTTCAATACACAAGTAGAAAGAGAAATGTTTCCTCTGGAACAAAAACTTAATTACTATTGAAAGGAGAAACAATGCTATAATTTAGAATGCCATAGCACTTAGTAAAAAAGACTTGCAGGCTGGGATACGGCTCAGAGGCAGAGAGCTTGCCTAGTATGAGGCCCTAGGTTCAATCCCCAGGACCACAAAAAGCTATGGATTGTAAAACTGTCTGAGCTTTTAACATTTTAACAGAAGACATTATTTATTCTTATGCAGTAAATAAGGGAAGCAGCATGCACAGCAATCGCTGTCTGCTCCCTTTGCTACTATTAGCTAGCATAACTTAATAGGTATGCAGCACTGTGTTCGTTGCTTTACATGGACTACCACTCCGTTACAAAATCTCTATGAGAGAGAGATACTAGATTATTCTATATACAAGAGAAAGTAGAAGGAAGTGCAAGGGAAATACAGGCGACACACCCTATCCTCAGGTTCTAAATCCACTAATTAAACCAACTGTGTATTGAAAATATTTTAAAATATTAAAATTTTTCTTTTCACTTCTACCTAAATAACACGTTTAACAATTACTTACATAACATTTACATTGTATTACATATAAGTAATCTAGAGATGATCTGAAGTATATGGGAGGATGTGCACAGGTTGAATGCAAATAACTTACCATTTTATGTAAGATACTTAAGTGTCTGCAGATTTGGGGGTCCTAAAACAAATCCCTCTCAGACAGTGAGGAATAACCAAAATTTACTATAAGTCAAATAGCCAGCAAGTGGTAGAACTCTAACCTGAACTGACTCCAAGACCCATTTTCTTTACCTATATACTATTACAGTAAGTCTTAAACGTGCTGCAGTCTTGCTTTGTTGGCATATTCATTTGGCTGTATTTAGAAAGGCTGTGTTTGAGGGGGCAGGTACAGCTTTAATGTAATCTTTTTTTCCAGGACTTCCCCCCTCTGAGTTTATGATTACTTGGCATAGCCAGTTCCTCTCAATCCACAAGATACATACCAGGATCACTCAGTACTTGCTCTGCTCATGAAAAGCATGGGCCGTGTTTCTAGTTTACTGAAATAAGGATGTATATTCTAATTGTTCACTTCTAATTTCTCTAGAGTGCTACTATTCAATACGTAACAGGCTATTTCTGGAGCTTCATTAAGAATATGAATAGTTAGGCACAAGGCCTGAATCTGTATATACAAAATACATCTAGAAAATACCTCTGAGGTGACTGGAAAGACAGTCCATTTTTATACCATAAGTGGAAAAAAAATGCACACTCTTGTAACTCTTAGCTTGCTGAGATCTGGGCTCAGGATAAACTATCTTTTAAACTGGATTGATCAGCAGCTGACTAAGTATGAAGTCATCAGAAACCTAAAAACTT